TTAATTTTTGTGATTTCTCTAGGCAAATATATCATTTTTTAAAGTTAATTAGGGTTTTTTAGCATTAATTAATTTAGAAATCTCTAATATTTATTTATTAGACGCGGCAAACCGTCATCCTCGGCAGCTCCGAAGTTCACGCGGCGGTCTCATATTCGATGTGCTTTCCACGTTGTCATCCGAGCTGGCCCGCTGTTCGGCCTCCTTCATATGAATCGTTCAGCAGTCCAATTTGATCAACGCCGTTCATTTTTTATGCACAAAATGAACGGCAATGGTTCATCGTCCCTACGAAACAATTAACCGACTATATTTCATGATCAAATAGTAATATCTCCCTTGATTCTCCATAGAACCTCACGAGATTCGTTTCTAAAACTTCATCGAACCAAGGAGAACAAATCCATACGGCTACTTAAACATGATGTGCATATTTCTTTCACAAAAGACCAAATCCAAGGCTATTTTTAGGGTTTTAGAACCATACATTTGCCCAAGAGGTGTGACCTCAATTGGGTTTATCAAACATGATAGCCTTGACCTTACGCAGCTCCTCCTTAGCTCAATTTGATTTGAAATCGGGTCTAGGTATGAGTTAGGTGAAATTGTCTCACAGTTTGGTCTTGAGCTAGGTTAGCAGAGTCGACGTGGCTTAATTTTGATTGGGAATGTCTTTGTAAAGCTTAGGGAAGCTTTTGGAAGAGTTATTTTGAAGTTTTGGTAGGGTTTATGTCATACCTGAAATTTGTCATGGATTTCGATGACAAAATTAGGGTTTCATGGTCATGGAGGAGGCTTGAAAGTAGGGTGAATTTCTTATATGGATCAAGGGCAAGGTTTTTTGTGTAGAGGGTCAGAGGTCTAAGGCACTGGTTAGGAAATTCTCTCCCCTTCTTAAGCTCTCGGGTTTGGGCTTGGATATGGCCAAAGCTGGCCTAGGGAGAATCCCTTGACTCCTCTGAAGTGTTTTCAGAGATCAGGGAGAGGAGTTATGGAGGCAATTTCTCTCCTTGGAAGTTTTGTCAAAGTTGGCTCCAATGGAGTAAAGGAGAAAAAATCCATGGCATGGAGGCATTGAAGGAGGGAGGAGGGAGGAGGGAGGAGGTGGCGTGGTTGAGCTTGGCAGAAGTTCTCCTTGACCAAAGCATGAAGAGACTTGGGTCACTTGGACCAGGGTGCCACGTATGAGGGGGGTAGGTAGTCATAATTTCACTTGTCCTTTCTTCTTTTTCTTTATTTCTCTTTTTGGTTTTATTTGGAATATGGGTAGGGTGTGGGTCATGTAACCTGATAGGTTATTCTAGGTCATGGATGACCCGTTGTTAGACGGGGTATCAACCTAAGCCTAATGGATTTTAAATTCTTTCTTTTAATTAATTAATTGATTAATTAATTAGGAGAATGAAAAGTTGATCATGTTGACTGTGTTGACCATGAGTTGGCCATAGTTGTTTAGGGTTGACCATTTGACCTAGGTTGGCTATCAAACCAATACTGACCATTTAGACCATAGGTTAACCAATTGGACCATGAGTTGATGTATTGAATTATGGGTAAACAAGAACGATCAATTTGACCATATGAGGATTGGGTTGACCATAGGGTCAATGGATTGGTCATATGATTCAAGATTGACCATGTTGATCAAGAGTTGACCAGAATGGTCAGGTTGAACATATGGTAATGTGTTGACCATAGGGTCAATGGATTGGTCATATGATCCAGGATTGACCATGTTAACCAAGAGTTGACCAGAATGGTCAGGTTGACCATATGGTGATGTGTTGACCATAGGGTTAATGGATTGATCATATGGTCCTGTGTTGAAGTTGTTGATCAAGGGTTAACCATATGGACTCATCCAGGTCAAGATAGGGTTAAGGTTAAGTTTCATTTGATTTGACTCCACTAAAGATGTGTATGTTTGCCCCTGATAGTCAATTCAGGCACTTACCAATTCAGGCACTTACCTTTTCAAAACCCTAAACCCACTCAGCCAAAGAGTTGAGGGCTTGAGCTTGTGTAGATAGTAGGGATAAATCCTCACAAAAGTGAGGTCAACAAACATCTTTTTAGTTTTTAAAATAATATTAAAGAGTTTAGAAAATCAAGAAACTCTTAAATCTCCTAAATATATTCACACTTAATTGGGATATCATCAGATCCTATTGATTCTCCATCCTTTGTTCTCTTTAAAGTCTATTCAACTTCTTTTTTACAAATGCGACGGTAAAAATAAAATATTTTATTATTATTAATGATGTTAAGAGCACTAAGGTTGATTGCATTTTCAAAAACTTCATTGAAAAGTTTATCAAAATAGTCATCTACTTATTTTGAATATCTTCTAAGAAAAACACTTCTTTATTTACATCTTTAATACACTTTGCTTGGATTAAATCTTAACATTTCTTTTATCTTTTTTTTGGCTAGTTTATGCATACATTTTTACCCACTTTAGCATTTAATCTATCACAAAGATCACTGAAACAAATTTTTAGCGCTAAAAATTATTCTCTTAGACTCTCTACGGGTCATCTTATATTTTTTTTTTCCAATTATATAAGGTTTTACATTTAAACTAATTTTTATTCTTATATTTTATCTTTTCTTGTACATTATTATTTAAACAACAATTATTTTTATTTATAGAAATTTTTCTTTTTAATTCTCCCAAATACATTTTTTTATCATTTGTTTAATAGTGTTTGTTACATTATCCTACATAAAATTTGTATTTTCGTAAAAATCACAAATTTTAAAAGCTTGAAGTTTACTCATAAAAATAATTTTATTTGTCTTTTGGGAACTCCATCTAATTCTATGACAATGATTCCTAGTATTTTTTATCTTACAACTCTTTATCTTAAAATTCAAAAATTAATAATCGATGCTGAGTACTTAAATTTTCATTTAAAATGACCTTACAGTATTTACATTCTAGACAATCTCTTCTTCTCATAAGAAAATAATCAATTGTGTTTTATTAAATTATTTCTTATAAGTAATAATATGTTTATCTCTTTCTTTAAAAAAAGCATTACAAATAACAAAGTCATGCGCTACAGCAAAATCTAATATGGTTCTACCTTCTTTATTAATCACTCCAAAAAAATAGCCACCATGAATATTTCTAAAATGTTCTATCACTCTATTAACATGTTCATTTAATTCTCCTCCAATAAATTTTTTTTCTTCAAGAGGTATCATTTGTATTAATTCTTCCTGGTCATTCCAGATTTTTTTTTTTTGAAACCTATATTTAAACCTACTTGAAGAGCATAAGCACTTATAACATTAAAAATTTTAGTATCAACAACAACTTAAGAGCTATAATTCAATCTCAAATTCTATTAATATTTACAGCATTATCTTTCAAACTTTTATCTATAATTATACATGCATTATTTCTAGTGTAGCTCCTACCTGAATATCAAAATTTAAAATCTAAATTATCAATCTCCTTAGCATTTTCTCCAACTCATTTAGTTTCTTAAACACATAAGTTATTTATCTTTCTATGAACCATAATATGAAATAATTTTATTAATTTACATGTGAGAGTATCTATATTCCAGAATTATATCCAAATATTAGTTTCTTTGACTAACTTCTTTAACCGCATATGTGTGTAATGTGGGAACCATTGCTTAATTAACAGTACACCAAGGCGTCGGCATAGCTGCCCTTGCGTACTTTTCATTGTATTTAAATCAACAGTGTGTCGCATCCAGATGACGCATTAGCATTTACACAAAGATTTAAAAAATTCATGTCATAATTTTTCGACAAATTTTATGTTGATTGTCGACTACCTCACAACACTTCACTTTTTACATTTGGGGCTTGGGACCCGGCAAAGACATTGTTAAACAAAGATGTAAATTAATGCATTTTTGTATACAAAATTGCATATTTGCATAAAAATTTAATTTCATTTGTGTTAAAATATGATCTTTCTTAAAATATAATTTTGAATTGGTTCTAGTATCAAATGAACACTTCAATGTCCAAAACCCTAAAAAATTGAGATTGAAATGTGAATGTAGAAACATAGTGGCAATGATGAGAAGCACGGCCCTGCAAGGGAGGAATGGGTGCACGCAGTGACCTTTGGACTAAAGTTAGAGTTTTTTTAGGCAAAACACAAATTTTAGTAACAAAGTTTAGTTTGACGAAGGAGAATGATCGATAATAGTTAAAAATCGGTCTTTTTCACCATGGCCATCTTCGCTCTTACAGGCTCTCAATCGCCAAATGAAGTTCTTCGCAAAAATTAGGGTTGCGGAGGACGCTTCAACTCATCGAAAATCCCATCTTTAATAAAATTCCTGATGCATCTGAAACATAGTGGCAATGATGAGAAGCACGGCCCTGCAAGGGAGGAATGGGTGCACGCAGTGACCTTTGGACTAAAGTTAGAGTTTTTTAGGCAAAACACAAATTTTAGTAACAAAGTTTAGTTTGACGAAGGAGAATGATCGATAATAGTTAAAAATCGGTCTTTTTCACCATGGCCATCTTCGCTCTTACAGGCTCTCAATCGCCAAATGAAGTTCTTCGCAAAAATTAGGGTTGCGGAGGACGCTTCAACTCATCGAAAATCCCATCTTTAATAAAATTCCTGATGCATCTCAATTTAGCAGGCTCTTCTCAAGCAAGGATTAGAGCTGAGGTTTGGACTTAGGTTTAGGCATGGCTACTCGCCTACTAATCACTTCAGACGTAAGAAAACATGCGATGTCTGCCCCTTCGTTCACCTAGGCAGAGGAAGCGTTTCATAACGATATGAAGCCTAGTAACATAAAACAGGGTATATGATGCGAAAAAACACTGCCAAACATAGCAAATCGAACGAAATATTGGTCGCCGTGAAATATTGGTCGCCGTGAAAATCAAAAGTGAAAATCAAAATATAAATATGCCTAGAAATCATACGCAGAAAACCTAGAAACATAATTGCCGCCCTCTCGGCTGAAAGGCAGAGAAAGGATACTCACTGGGATCATAGTCGGAGTACTCGTCGGAATTGGAATAGCACTCCGACGGGGACGGACTGCGGTTTTCAGGGCCTAGGACGGACAAGAACAACTTTCCGAAGCCGGAAATGAGACCCCTGAGCCAACCAAGACTTCTTCCGGTTTGCGCTTCTGGCACTCGATGTGGTATCAGCGCCGTAGAGGATGGCGGTCGGCTGTAAGGCGAGAACGACGGTAGTAACCGGCGGCGGCCGCGGATAACCTTCCCGCCGGATCCCAACTCCTCTCGCTCCTCGCAAAGGAGGCCGGAAGCCATCTCCCAGGATGAGTACGACGAGATTGAGGCAAGGGATTTTGAGAACACAGACCTGACTTCAAAGAAATTGCGGGGATATGGATTTTAGATTTAAACTTTCAAGATTAAAATAGTCTGACTAATCATGCTTATATTTAATAAATTTGAACTATGGTTTTCTGTGGGAGCATGTGCCCTTAGAGAGATTGTTGAAACCCTCTAGGGTTTCTTTGAATGGCTAGAATTTTCACTTTGATTTGATAGAATTTTTTTTCTTTTTTTTTTTTTTCTCTTGAAAAAATACTTTGATTTCTTCTCTGTTTTGTTTTATACCGAGTTTTTTTTTAGGTTTGGGGCTTTGTCTCTTCTTTTCGTCATGGAGTTTTTTTTCCCTCATCTTTCCTCTCTTCATCTCAATCTACGTTGGCTTTTGTGTTAGCTTTAAGCTGAAAAAGATTAATTTCTTCTAATCTTGTTAGTTCTACCGGGGCCGTAATTTATTTTATCTTCCTCACACGGATGATAAGGTTGTTTTCTCGGATGAGGAGGTTGATATTGGATCTAAACAATGGGATCTTGCATTTGTTGGTTAAGTTTTATGCAGAATATTTGGAAATTAAAAGACTCAGTTGAGATTTTTTCTTTAACTAGGGTTATTTCTGATTAAATTTACTTGCTTTAAGGATTTTGAGATGTTTTTCCTCGTAGTCCTTGGTTTATTGGAGGTAAATCATTTATTTTGAAAAATGGACTTGATTTTCGGCATCTTCATGAAGATTTCAAGAAAATTCTCATATGGGTAAAATTTACTAATTTTTCTTTGTTTTGTTAGTCAGAAAGTGGTATTTCAAAAATTGCTAGCAAGATTAGTGTTTCTTTTCCAGTTGATCCTTTGACAGCAAAGGGTTCTAGGCTATCGTTTGCTAGAGTTAAAGTTTAAAATAATATTGGCTCTCATTCGCCTTAATCTATTACTATTGTTTTTAAGAATAAAGAAATTATTATTCTTATGGCTTACGAATGGAAGTCAGTGCCATGCAATACTTGTTCTACTTTCTCTCATCATCCTTCTAACTGTCCTAAAATTTCTTCTTTACTTGCTAATGTTATTCCTACGTTAAGAAGAAGAAATTGAAATAGAATAAATACTTTTGAAAATTTGAAGAATTGTAGTAAATGTATTAATACTATTTGGTCTTCTCATGGTCCCAATAATTTTCTTAACTCTTCTATTTTAGAGTTTAATGTTGCTACTTTTGTTTTATCAAGTAAAAATGAGTCTTCTGATGATATTTGGTCTTATTGGATGTAAATATCTCTCATCATCTTTCAAATGATCTTATTGGAGGTATTAATACTTTGGTTTCTCATAATGTGAACACTTCTAACAATTTGGTTTCTCATAACGTGGTCACTTCTAATAATTTGGTTTCTCATAATGTTTCTATGCATACGTGTTCTACTTCTAATGCTCCTGTTAGAAGTAAGAAAGATAAATCTAAATGCTCTACTATTCATGGTTTCCTACTTTTCTCTTTTTGTTTTTTCTGGTTGTTATTATGTTTCTTTCAAAATTGGTCGTTTGGAATGTTCGTGAGTTTAATAGTGAAACTCGGCTTGTAGATTGTAAAATTTCTTTCAAGTTTTTAATTTTGATCTTATTTGTCTCTTAGAGACAAAGTTAAACTCTTCTTTTATTTCTGATCCTATTATTTTAAATCATTACAACTTTTTTTTAAATGAGGGTAATGTTCATAATTTTGACATTTCTGATTGTGGTAGGATCTGTATTAAATGAAATAAAGATTTCTTGAATCTCTATGTTATTATTTTAGGTGCTTAATTTATTCATTGTCAAGTTTCTGTCTTTTCCTCTGTTAATTTTTTTCATCAATGTTATATATGTTGATAATAATGTGTATATAAGGAAAAGATTATGGAATTCTATTATTTATGTTGCAAAAAATATGACTTCTCCTTGGATTATTATTTAATTGAATTTGAAGAATTGGGGAAAAAGTGGGAGGGGTTCCTCTATTTCCTTCTAAGCTTTATGATTTCAATAACTGCATTTCTAGCTCTGGCCTTATTGAATTACAAAAATCTTTCTATTATTTTAGTTTGTATAATAAAAAATTAAATTATCTTGTTAGATGTCTTCTTGATAAAGTTTTTATAATGCTAATCGGATGAACATTTTTCCTTATTCTTTTTATAAAGTTTTAAATGCTTACTCCTTTGATCATTATCCTATTTTGTTATCTTTGCGAAGTTCTTACAAAGTGTATTGTAGATTTATGTATAAGAATTATCAGAGCGTTTGGCCAAATTTTTTAAATATTGTTAATACTGCTTGGAAGATTCTCGTTAAAGGTGATCTTATTTTTTCTATTTTCAATAAACTTTGTAGTGCTAAAATGGCTTTCAAGGGTTGGAATTGGAATTCTTCTAATGTTATATCCAAACATATTGTTGATATTAAAGATAAACAAAATAATATTATGGTTCAGTTAGTGAATTTACCTCTCTCTAATGTTCTTCTGGATCAAGCTTTTTTGGTTCAAAAGAAATTTTCTAATGTTATTTATTGTGATTACAAATGGGCAAAGTAAGAGCTGAATGCTCTTGGTTATCTAAAGGGGAAGATGATGCTAAATTTTTAAATAAGAAAGATAATATTTGGCAAAATTCTAATTTTATAAGGAAGTTTTGGTTAATGAGAATTATATTCAAAAACATGAAAAGATTGTTAAAAAAGTATTACTTTTTACTCTTATTTGATTAATGTTCTTGTTTTTAAAGATCATCTTTTGGGGGACACTTTTTTTATTAATTATTATGTCTCTAAAGATGATAGGTCTTTATCGAATCAAAGGTATAGTGATGAAGATATTAAGAAGGTTTTCTTTTCTATTGGCTTTAATACAACTCCTGGACCAGATGGTTTCACTTTAATATTTTTTAAAGATGCTTGATATATTGTTGGTAATAAATGTATTTCTGTCATTAATTTTTTTTACTGCCTCTAAACTTCCCAAATGGGTGATGTATTATGCTATTTTGCTTATTCCTAAGAGTACTAACTAATACTAATTCTTTTTGTAACCATTGTCTGATCTCTTTATGCAATACTTTTTATAAGGTTCTTTCTATTATGTTGGCTGGCAGACTAAAATCATTCATCCTCCACAAGCTGCTTTTATTAATAGTCATGCTACGCTGACAATATCATTTTAGCAAATGAACTTCTTTATGGTTTTAATTATTGCCATTGTATAAATATATTTTGTGCTAAAATTTATATTCATAAACCTTTTGATATATTTAATAGAGATTTTTTGTTAAAATGATTACATGGGATTGATTTTCCTAGAATGATTGTTAATTGTTGTGTGTATTTCTGATGTTTATTTCTATGTTATTATTAATAGTGATTTAAAAAGTTATTTTTCTTCTTCTTCAGGTTTGAGGCAAGGTTGTATTCTTTCTCCTTATCTTTTTTTTATTATTGTGGATTTTGTTTTTGTTAGGCTTCAAAATCAATTGGATGATAATTGTAATGCTAATTTTGTTAAACATTTGATTTATGCTTATGATATTTTTTATTTTTAGTAAGATTGATCCTAGTCATATTAATTTTATTTCTAAGACTTTTAGTAAGTTTTTTAAAGCTTCTAATCTTCAAAATTTTTCTAAATCTATCATTACTTTTTCTAAAAGCGTCGATAATAATCTCCAAAATTTATGTAGTTTATGTGGCTTTACTTTTAAAGTTTTGCATTATTACCATCAAACCTTCTATATTGGTTATCACTGACTGTCATAAGCTTAATGAAAAGATTTATTTGTAGCTAACTAGTTGGAAGAAAAAACTATTATATGTTGCTAGTCGTTTTCGACTTATTAAATTTACCATTTGAAGTTACCTTTACTATTGGTTTTATTTTTATTTATTACCTATTGGCTTAAGGAAACAAATTTCTTCTTTGATTTCTAAATTTCTTCTTAATATTGATGAAAAGAAAAAACTTCATACTATTTCTTGGAACAAAATTACTCTTCTTAAACATTTGGGTGGTTTAGGTTATTCTGCTTTCGATAACATTAATGTTCTATGCAAAATTAAAATCATGCAAAAATATTATAATTATTTAACTTACTTAAGAGATTGGCTTTTTAATCATTATGGTTCTTTTTGGTATAACGCCAACTATATGTCATCTCCTTTTTTGGAAAGTACTTATAAGAATTGCTTCTATGTTTAGCTTTGCTATGAATTTACATGTCATTAATGGTTCTTCTTTGTTATTTTATTTTGATCATTGGTTTGAGGGTAAGTCTATTTCATAGAAGTTGTGTGAATCTTTTTTCACTTGTTTTAATCTTCCTCTTAATTCTAAGCTTATGGATATGGTTTATAATAACTGTTGGAATTTTCATTTGAATCTTATTTCTCTGATTTTTTTATTGATTATCTTAGTAAGATTCATATTACTAGTGGGCTTACTTGTTCTTAGAATAATGACTTTGATTTTTTTCATAAAGAAGTTTATCATTCTCTTTATGCTTCTTTTACTCTTATAAATTGGTTTAAAATGGTTTGGTTCAATGGACTTTCCTTAAGATATGTTATTCATACTTGGAACGTTATTATTAAAGGTGTTAAAACTACTGATATTCTTTATTAAAGAGGTATGCATAACAATTTAATCTGTGTTTTATGAAACAATAATTTTGAAACTCATGCTCATATCATTTTTAAATGTTCTTATCTTCATTTACTCATTAAAAAATGTTTTCTGATAAATATTTTTTATTACTACTTTTAATATTTTTCAAATCATTTATCATTATGATAGCTTCTCTTGCAAAATTTCTTGATGTTTTTATCTTTTGGTTGTACAAGTTGTTGCTTGTATGGTTTGGTTTGAAAGAAACTCTATGATTTTTTAGGAATATTAATAAATCTGTTGATTTTAATGCTCATTATATTCACTAGTTAATTAGTTACAAAAGCAGGAAATGGAAATTTAAGAGTTGTATTCTTGATTCTATTAAACAATTTTATAATATTTAAGCTTTTCTGTTTGTTTTTTATTATTTTTTCTCTTGTTTGATCTCTTTGGCCTTTTTGTTGTGTTGTTGTTGAAGGTTTT